TGGTCTTGTCCTGTGGGGATCCCAGAGCTCAGTTCCTTCCTTGCCTCACAGTGACCTGTAGGGGTTGTCTGCAGTATCAGCTTTGGCACCATCACAGCTGTGATAGCTCTGATGTCACACCCCAACAGCTGGTGCCCCCCCACCTGCAGCTTCCTATAAAGGCCCTTTCGCACTCCGACCTTCCAGCATTTCTCTGTTTTCCCCAATGCCATTAATAAAACCTCTCATCCTGGCCTTTGAGTGTCCCTCTTCCTGCCTTATGCAAGGGTCAGACGTCCTGAGAGCATTTCCAGATGATCCCCAGGACATGAACTGTCTCACCTCTGGCTGGAGTCCCCAGTGGACTGTGGCTGGTGACTGGCAGCTGGATTGGTCCCCAAGTCTCACTATCGCTGATTGACTACCAGTGTTCAGGGACAGCAGAGGCCAGTGGAGATGTGGCATAGGCAGAGCATAGTGCCTCCTGAACAGGCTCCTGTACTACTCTATCAAATCTATTTAAATGTCCCAATCTGTAGATCTGTGTTCCCATGAAGAGTAAGTACAGCCTGGACGTCAGGGGAGGGTATCAAAGAGACACAGGCTGAATGGCAGGCGCTTCATAATCTGCCCTCTGGGGTCTGGGGCCTGTACCCGCTCTACAGGATCTCTCTCTCTCTCTCTCTCTCTCTCTCTCTCTCTCTCTCTCTCTCTCTGTGTTGTGTGTGTGTGTGTGTGTGTCTGTCTCTGTCTCTCTGTCTCTCTCTCTGTCACCCCCTCTCTCTCTCCTCTCTCTCTCCCTCTCTCTCTCCCCCTCTCTTTCTCTTCCTCTCCCTCCCTCTTTCCCTTTCTCTCCCTCTCTCTCTCCCTCTCTCTCTTCTTCCCCCTCCCTCCCCCTCCCTCCCTCTCTCCCTCCCTCTCTCTCTCTCTCCCTCTCCTTCTCTCTCTCTCTCTCTCTCCCTCTCTCTCTCTCTCTCTCTCTCTCCCCTTTGAGCCAATCTGGATGTCCCCTACATTTCCAGAGCCCCAAGCATGCCATGTCCTCTTAGCCATAGCCACATTCTGGCCTGCTGTCCTCCACCCCCACGCCAGTGTCCTCTGAGCCCTGCTCTGCCCATTCAGGAGACAGCAGTGGGGAAGTGACAGGTTTCCAGGCTGTTACCCCAGGATCTGTGAACCCTAACACCCCAGGAGCCTGCCCCAGGGACAGCCAGGCTCTAACCCTCAGCAGGCCTGGACCATGCCCAGTGGGGAAAAGGCTCCTTGGGAATGTTGCTCCTGCCCACACACCAAGCCTTCCTGCCTACAGGGCAGTGAAGACAGGTGGTACCCTGCCCCTGCCCACTCACTCTCTTGGGGGACCCTCCAGTCAAAGAGAGGGTAGTGAAGTCAGCTCCCACTAGGAGCCAGAACATCCCTAGGAGTTCACTCACCTGGTATCTGGAATGCCCATGACTCTCTATGACAGAATCCCCACCCCAGCCTATACTCCACAGTATGTGAGTCCAGTGACCTGGGGGCCCCTGAGAGCCACACTGCTGGCCACCTGCTGGAGAGTGAAGCCACAGGCCCTTCTCAGAAAGTCCTCAGAACACAGAATGTCAGACGCCACAGGGACAGCTGTGTGGATTGTGACCAAGCTATTTCCTACCAGATACCAGAATACCATCTTGTCACCTCGTTTGCACATTAAGCACCAGGAAGCACTTGACAAGAGGCGTTCCTGGGTCACCGCTACAGCCAAGAGTGAGGGCTGTGAATGCTTATGAAAGCTTCCAGCAGCTTCCCACCTGCTGAGACAGCAGCCCAGACCAGGGGAAGGCAGAAGGGAGCCCTCATAGAAGTCCAGAACTGCTCAGTGCTCAACACAGAATAGAACCACGGGGACTTAAACCTGGGCCAACCCTCACTGGCCTCTCAAGCGTCTTACGATGTGACTCCATAATATCAGCCTGACTTTTATATTTCCTCCCTGGTTCACCATGTTTATAACTGGGTCATCTTTTAACTATTTGAAACATACCTCCAGGGGAGAGGGGGCAGGCTTTATAAATAACCTTTATTACCATGTACAGGTCGGCTGTGTTCCCCAGGCTCAAGAACAGGAAAGCACATGTCCGTGACTCACCCAGTCCCGGAAGCATGGTCGCTTGCGCTCACGACACCCAGCCCGGCTTGCACAAGGTTCTTCTGGGGCTCACTTACACACTCACCTGCATGGGGAAGGCTGGCACCTAGGTGCCATTGCTTGGAGCCAGGGGATTTGTACAGTGACAGCCGACATAGTGACATACAGTTGACGAAGCTCCGCATTCAAAGCCATCTTTGAAAGTGTGGCTGTGGGAGAGCAGGATACAGGGGCCAGGGGCTTCTGCTCCAACTCAGATTCCCACTGTGGTCCTGTATCAGAGGCCCAGGGCCTCCTCACTCACAGCCCATGATCTATCGATTGCTGGAACTCACAGCCAATCACTTCTGTGTGGTTAGGCTGTAAATTGCACCGTCCATGCACATCCGTGCTCCAAACCCGGGTCACAGGACATGTGACAGAGAGCAACAGCCCAGTGCATGAAGGAGCCTAACACTTCCTGGCAACCAGGGAGGAGGTAGGCATATGAAACCACAGCCACCCATCACCAACTTGCAATCCCCCAGGAGGTCTGGGTACCAGATCCAACTGTCCTGTTTCTTTATTCCATAAACTGTTACTAGATCAGTAGGATCTCTTGTCAGGAACCTAGGACACCATGTCATGGTCACTAGTGCTCCCAAGTGGCCTCTCTAGAAGAGAAGGAAGCCTGCAGTGAGCCCACCCTGGGGAGCTCCAGGCTGAACCCAGGTGTGGGTTGTGGGTGTGTTTGGGGCTGGGCCTGTGTTTCTTCTTCAACTGGGGACAGAGCCAGGCCCGTGGCGGCCCAGAGCTTTGCTAAGTGCAGGTTGGATAGCTCATCTCCATGCCAGGAGCCCTAGGGCCGGGGACTTCATTCCTGAAGCAGGTGCTCGGCCTTCCCCGGCAGCCAAGCAGGTAAGTACATGCGAAGCCTCAGTGGCTGCTGGTAGCTCTTTGAAACTCGAAACTCCTCCCACCTCTGGCAGCTCAGAGAGACCTTCTATTGTAACTGTCTGTGCAGCCCCCTCTACTGTATCTCCCTGTCCCCCATAACCCCACCATCCATTCAGCTGTTAGGAGACCAGAATCCTACCACATGCGGCGATTTGGTATCCAGAAGTGGCATGTCCAAACCCATGCCCCTCCAAATCCACAAAACGTACCCTACCCAGGTCCCCATGTGGCCACCTTACCTGTGCAGGGCTCCCAGTGCTGGGCGCCACAGCCGGGGGTACCCAGAAGCAAGAGCGCCGCACACAGCGTCAGCAGGGCAGACATGAGGGGCTCGGGTCCCAAGATCCATCCAGGGGCTCCACTCTCCTGCAGAGGCAGCCACTACTAATTCCCTGTGAGGGGCAGTCTGGACCCCAGGTGGTCACTGTGATGAGCCCATGTCAGTGTCTGCAGGAGCACAGAGGTGGCCCTGGCAGCAATGACAGCCCCTAGTTGTTCTGCGGTAGCAAAAGGCGGGTGGCCCTGGCAGGCTGGGGTTTCAGCTGCAGGCAAGGGTTTATCTCTTCACTTCCCTGCTGGGCTTGGGTCCCGTGTGCAGGTGACAAGGGTATCAATCTTCAGGGCTGGGATTAGTCATTGGCAAAGCTCACCCTCCCAACGGAGAGACAGAAATAGAGCCTTCATCGGTGCGCTGAGAACAAACCAGAAAAACTTAGAAAACCAGTTTTTCTTGGGTGCAGACGTCGGCTGAGTGCTGCTGCTCGGGACTCGGTGCAGGTGACCTTGGCAAACCTGGAGCTAGTGATAGGGGCAGGTGCTCCGCAGGTCCGCCGCGTGCTCTGCCCTCAGCTGGAGTGGGTGTCCCCAGAGGCCCCAGCATTCAGCAGAGGTCAGTCAGCCTTAGGTCCTGCAGGAGGTCAGGTCCTCTGTCCTGTGCTGGTGTCAGGATCAATCTCAGAGGAGGTGGTGACAGCGGCAGGTCTGCCCTGCTGGGTCCCACACCGTCCCCAGGAGGGCTGGCTTTAAGGAGGGCTTTTTATCTGGTGCCCAGCCCTCAGAGGGTGTGTGGGTTTGTCAACTGTTGGCTTCAGGAATTCCCCTGTGGGGGGAGCCATCCTTAAAGAGAGCTGTTCCAAAGGAAAGGGAATAGTGGCCTATGGAGGGTGTGTTGCCTGTGTGCTCAGTTCCCCGAGGGAGGTTTTTGCCTCAGCAGGACCCCCTTTTACAAACCCCTAAGACATTTCAGCAGAAATGCTCAGCTTCAGCAGGAATGCCCAGTTCAGAACCCAGGCAGAGCCTGACTCTGTGGATGTTTGCAAATGGTAGAGTGTGTGTGTGTGTGTGTGTGTGTGTGTGTGTGTGTGTAGTGTGGGGGGAGGTGGAGGGACAAACAGAAAAGAAGAGAGGACAAAGATGGATGGAGACGAGAGAAAGAAGTGGGGGAAAGCCCCAGTTTGGGCCCTGGTAGCAGAGGCTGACTCAGTGAGTGCTTGCAAGCTCAAGACCCTGTGAAGAGAGAGAGAGAGAGAGAGAGAGAGAGAGAGAGAGAGAGGAGAGACCATAAGACAGAGAATGAACAGGAATAGATAGAACTGGAGGGACAAGAAAGAGAGAAATGGGGTGGGACAAGACAGGGACAGAGATGGAAGGGGGGCTCCACAGAGTCCTGCAGGGTCCCTGTGCAGGAGACATGCATCCAGTCCTTCCCTTTTACCTGGAGACCCTGATCCCCAGTTTCTGTCCCAGTGAGAGGGCCGTGGACTTGTGGTGCCTAAGGTATCTGTGGAGAAAACCTTGAAGAGATACTTCTTATACACGACTACCCGTTTCCTGACCCAGAGGAACTTTGGGGTAAGTGTTTTTACCGCTGGGCCCCTGACTCAGAACTGCTCCTTACTGGTGGGACACATGGAGTAGTGGCAGGATTTCCAGAGGTCCCCTTGTAGATCTGAGCAAC